TAGTAGCTTGGGGTGGTTTGTGCCTCGGACTGGAACAACCTTTGTCCTAATGAGGTACTGGAATCCCCACTACAATACACTTTTAAAAGACAAACAATCTCATACCTCAGATGTATCATTGATACCAAAGATATTAAGATGGACCCAAAGCAGGTACAGATAATTATGAAGTGGTCTTTGCCACAAAGCTTTCATGATATCCAGATATTTCTGGGCTTTGTGAACTTCTATAGGAGGTTCATATATAAGTACTCAGTTATCATGGCATTATTGACAGATCTCTTGAAGAGCAGTAAAAATAGAAGAAAGAAAGAACCTTTTCTTCTAACACTCACTGTCAGAAATTTATTTTGTGAGTTGCAGATGGTCTTCTTCAGAGAGCCTGTTATCCAGCACTATAATCCAGAATGTAGAATATGTCTGGAGATAGATACTTCAGAACATGCTACAGATACAATATTACTACAGCTGTTTGAAGATAAGTGGCACCCAGTTACCTACTGGTTATTCAAGTTTGATCAGGCCCAATGAGCCTATAGCATACCAGATAAGAAGATGTTGGCCATTGTCCAAGCATTTGTTCATTAGTAGCAGTACTTAAAAGAAATGAAGTATCCTGTAGAGATTATTACAGATGATGCAAATCTTCATTCATTTATGAAGTTCACAAGCAAGATGGCACAACAACAACATGTAAGATAGATAGAGGTTCTCAGAATGTATGACTTTAAGATTCTCTACCACTCTGGGAAGCATAACTCAGCTGACACATTATCACAAAGACCAGATTATATCAAACTAGAAGAGAACATTGATCTGCTGATGTATACACTTAAATAACATTACACAGGTGGTGTTCCAGAGTGGAATTCATTTAAAAGAACTTTCTTTGACAAAGAAGGTATCCAAAGATGATATAATACAGATAGTATTTCAGAGTGGAGCTCATTCAAAGAAACTTCCTTTAATGAAGAAGGTATCCAAGAATATGCTGCTTGCACTGTTCAAAGCAGCAAGATAGAGATGATGCAGAGAAGATCTGGTGGCACCAAGACAACAGTTGAGTCAGTTCAAAAAGTACCAGTCAGAGATGCTGGGGAGACTCAATATAGAAATCACAGAAGATTCTGGATTCCCTATATGCATATGAACACAGCAACAAAAGACAAAAAGATCTATAACAAACTAACTATAAGCATGTTGGACCTGCTGCTGGAAGCACAGAGAGATAATTTCTCTGTACAAGCAAGATTCACTAAGGCAGGATCTCAGCAGTCAGAGTGAAAAATAGATGAACAAGATCTTTTGATAAAGAGCAGCAGAATCTATATTCCTAATAATTTAGCTCTAAGGCAGGAACTACTATGAGTTCACCACAACAACTCATTCACAGGTCACTTTAGCATGGTGAAAACATTTGCCTTGCTCCAGCAAAAATACAATTAGCAATCAATAAGACAAGATGTTCAGACATACATACATAAATACTAAACCTGCCAACAAGGAAAGACTTCAACACACAAACTATATAAGTTGCTTACATCATTGCCAACACTCAGTGATCTCTAGCATTCAATATTCATAAACTTTGTAACAGGTCTTTCTTCAAGTGAAGAGAAGAGGAATCTATACAACACAGTTCTGGTTGTTGTGAATTGATTTATAAAGCTTGCACATTTTCTTGCATGTAGAAAGAAGATTGATGTGCTAAAGATGATAAATCTTCTGTTCAGAAGAGTATTTAAAGACTTCAGATTTCCAAACAATATTGTTTCAGATCAGAGATCTGTTTTCACAAGTGAATACTGGTCAGAGCTATATTTTCATATGAAAGTTAAATGAAAACTTAGCACAGCATTCCACCCACAAATAAATGGTCAAACAGAGGCACTGGACAAGATTTTAAAGAGATATCTTCATGTCTATTGTAGTCATAAGCAAGACAATTGAGAGAAGTGGCTTGTGTATGCAGAATTTGTATACAACAGATCAGAACACTTCACAACACATATGTTCTTATTTAAAGCAATGTACAGCTTTAAATCTAGAGAACCAGACAAGATTCAGAAGTCAATCAACAACAACAATAATGTACAGACAACATTCAACAGAAGACTGAGAATGATCTCTGTACTAAGAAATAGCCTGGTAGAATATTTGACAAAAGCAAAAGAGGATCAAGCACAGTTCTATAACTAAAGATATCAAGATAAAGTGTATGCATCTGGTAACAAAGTGATGTTGTCATCAAGAAACCTATAAATAATACATTCTTGCAAGAAGTTAGACAACAAGTACTATAGACCTTTCTCAGTAATAGAGATTATAGAAAATAACACATATTGACTGAAGCTCTCTTCAAGCTATCAGATCTATAATATTTTCCATGTCTCATTGCTGGAACCATACCACACAAGAATGAGTGAGGTGCCAACACATCCTCCTGTGGTACTAGTGAATAACCATTATGAGTGGGAAGTAGACAAAATCTTGAACAACAAAGTGTGGTATTGTAAGAAATATTACCTAGTGAAATGGAAGAGATTTCCTATTAAGAAATCAACATGGGAACCTGAGAAAAATCTTGAAAACACACAAGAAGTCCTTAAGAATTATCTACAAAAGAAGTAAAGTTATTCTAAGATAAACAAACCTACATATAAAAAGAAGACTAGACATGCTAAAGACCATCACACATAACAAAACCAAACAACTAGTGACAAGAAGAGGTACCACAAGTGTGCCTGAAACACAGCCATAACAAAGATAAATCAGCCAAAGACAGATGTGGTTCTGGAGTCACTGGAACTAGTGATATAATGACAGATGGTACTGCAATAGAAGTAGACTTAATAAATAAAGAATCACAAGAAGAATAAATTACATCTACAATACTCCAGAAACTAAAGAAGACAATATTAGCCAGACAGTTAATGAAAGATGTAAGGTTAGCCTAGATAGAGATTAGTCTGATGATAAAAAAAATAGTAAAGAAAATCTACAAGACTGCTTTCTGTAACACTCTGAAGAGGTTTGGCTTCATCTGTTAAACAAGTGATGAAATAATCAAGTGAAACTTGGATGTTTTTGATTTCATTTTCTACCTGAGACAGGACAGTACAAACTGGGGTTGTTGGATGAAGAAGCTCAGACAGATTATTTTTGGTAGATTTTGTTTTAGACACAAGGTTCATGATTTTGATCTCATAATATGGTGCAGAATAACAGTATTGGAGAACATCTTTTAAAGATATGCCACCAGAAGTCAATCTCACATTCTCTCTAGCAGTTTCTTGAATGTCAGCTTCTTGAATCAGAGTGAAAATGAAAATAATCAAGAAGAAATGGAGCAAATGCAATTTCCAACTGTTATACTAGATGACTGGAGCTTTGCTGTTGTTATACCTCCACAAGATGTTTAATTTGTTGTGTTTTGTTTGCAAAAGTCAAGTTTTTGCTTGCTTATTTGGGAAGTTTCTTTTATTTGCCTGTAAAGTGAAGTTTTTGCTTACTCTTTTAGGAAGTTTCTCTTTTCTTGTTATTTGCATAGGCCTTCATATTTTCTGAAGTTTTGAGACAGATTTAAAGACTTATTTTTCCTTTCTGAAGCTTTTACTTTCTTTTACATTCAAGCTTGATTCTTTTTACAGATTCAACATTTCCTTCTATTCTGTTATTCTGACATTTGCAAATTTTTTGATCTCTGATATTCTTCAAAAATAGCTGGATGAAGCAACCTGCCTTCTTTAGCACCAGCAACTGAAAACCAAGGTCTGGTTGTTACCAGAGACAGTGGGGTCAACTTGGATGGCCATTTCTTCAATAACCTAACAGCAGCTATGGAATACATCAATAATCAAGCTCCACACTGTTGATATGGTCTACAAGTTGAGCTGATGAATGCACTTATGCAAGTAACTGATGTGGTCACTGACTTAGTGGCCTATTTCTATCAATATGTTGAAAGATCTAGAGCTTGGCAACATGTTATACACATCAATTTCAAAGCCAATTTCCATGATGCTTGAAAGGTTACCCTGGATGTTGAACAACATTGCATTGATATGCAAAAGATCAAGAATAGGCTTGTCACTACGTGGGGGATAGACAGGATTGATGCTATATGGCCAAAGATGAAGAGTCTGTAGGCCACACAAAAGCTTTGCCATACTCTAAATGTTTACAAGGATTGGGATAAGTTCACCAAAAATATTAACAGCACAGTGCTCTGAAGACTAGATGCTACAGGAGCTGAACATCACCAGAGCTTAGCTATATTGCCGGGTGATTATAAAGAATCCATAGAAGCCCAACCCATGATAACAAAGTGAATCAAGCCACAAAGAACCCCAACAACTCAGAGCGCTGCAAGTATGAAAGGATGATCAGGATAAAAAGATCAAGAAAACCCTACCAGAGGAATTTTGGAAATACATTAATGTATTCAGAGAAAGAGATCAAAGCAACAGTCTACCAAAGCACAACCTCTGGGACCACAAGATAAAACTACAAGAAGGAAAACAACCAGTGAAATTGCCAATATACAGATTAAATGAGAAAGAATCAGTGGAAGTGAAGAAATACATCAAGAATAATCTCAAGAAAGGTTACATCAGAGAGTTGACATCACTGGCAGAATATCTAATACTGTTTGCACCAAAAAAGAACAGAATCTTATAACTATATGTGGATTACAGACAGTTGAACAGCATCACAGTCAAGCTGACAAAGAAGTCAACCACACTTGTGAACTTTCTTCAAGAGATGCCCTACACTAATAAGGACTTACTATTGAAAACTATGGTCTTCTACAGCTGTTGGCTCTTCCACAGTCATCTAGCTCCCATCATTCAATTCAGAATATTGCTAGAAGCCCTCCCACTGCAAGCAGCCCCCAAGGTCTACTAGAAGGACTGCAGTCACCAATATCATCAAGGGATGTTCCCATGGGTGGAATGCCACATAGCTGCAATGTATCAAGAGCCTCTATACATAGTACAATGTCTATTAGATCATGTGGATTGGACACTGGCCAATCACAGCTGCTATTTGGATTTACTAGTGCACTGGCCAATCCACCTAGCCAATCAGAAGCTCCGAAGCACCACAGTGAGAGAATTGCAGCCATGTCAGCACACCAAACTCTCCAAGACCTAGGCAACAAAGATGAGTCCATTATTTCTCCTGAAAGTGATGAGGAAATACCCCAACATGAACAAGAAGAATCTGTCATACTGTTAGGAGAACCAGTCATAGGTCATGTAGGTTTTTCCAGGATTAGAGGTACAAAAGAGCTAAGTAGGTACAATGCTCACAACTGATGGAAGGGAGTTGTGTGTAGAACATAGAAGTTCTCCAACTAGAAGACTGAACACTGGGGTTCTCACAATCCATGCAAAGTGTGTGATTCTTATATATTCAGAGTTGAGGTCATGTGAATACCCCTGAACATCCAACATCATCTAATGCTTGGTTGGTCTAGATCTATGTTTGTAACATTATTCCCCCCTCCAGAGGTCTTAGACTCTGAGGCATAGAGCCACTGAAGTGGTTTTTTGTACATTGTCATAGCTCTTCTATAATTGGTGAAGTATTATAGGTTCTTGAATGTGCAAGCTTCTGCATTACTACTGCTTGTCTATATAGATATTCTGTATGTGTATTGCCACTGGTTGCAGTAGATATCCTTTAGCATAAAACAGCAATTATTTTATTACAAGAGTTCAGTGTTTTGTCATGTACTCATTTCTTTGTTTGTTTGCTTGTCTGGTTGCTATATTGTCTGTTGTCTATTATCACATTATTTATCAACAAGTCATGGAACTAGCAACCTTAGTGCATTACAGTACAGGTATAAATAGAGATCTTCTCATTCTTGTTCTTCTCTTCTTCTTCTTCTACCACATCTTGATGAGAGTGTTGTTATTTCTTCTATGCTACTCTTTGTTACCATATCTTCTTTGAAGAATTCTGTCCCTAATATTGAAGAGGAGATGTTTTCTTGCTCAGTATGCATATATTTAATGTTTACTGATTGTTTGGATGAAGTGGAGCCCTGTATATGGAACTCTGAAAAAGAATCTTGTGCTTATTGTTTAGAGTGCCAAACTCATACTTGTTGTGATATAAGTGTGTCTTCATCTGTTCTTTCTTGTTGATCTAACATAGTTATAGATACCTGAATCTACTTTTAATGTTGTATGTTGGCTCTTACATCTTCAAGAGAAGTATCACTTCTTCAATGCTGCAGACCCTTGCTGTCCATACAACATGAAGTGTATGAGCATACTTATGCAAGAATTTCATGGGCTTGACTCTGGGGCTGTCAAATATCATCATTACCAGACTACTTCTGTTCTTGAAAAATCTTTTATGAAATATCATCATCCTGCATCATATCAACAAACTAAAACTATGAATCTTGTGTCTGAAGCCAGATCTGTCAAGAATAATCTGTCTGAACTTCTTCATTTACCAAGTCCAGTTTGTGCTGTCTTGTCTTGAGTTGAGAATGAGATTGGAAACATTCATGTCTTACTTAACTATCTTACCACTTGTTTGATAAGTGAGACCAAGACTCTTTAAGACAGCACGGAAGCCGGTTTTATAGATCTTCTTTACTGTCTTTATCTGTTCTCGGACTAACTTCTGCTTAGGCCAACCTCACATCTTCTATCAACTGTCTAACCAACACTGTTTCTTCTGGTTTTTATAGCATTATGAAAGCACTTCATTCTTGTTATAGTTCTTTGTCTGTTATGTCTTCTTTCATGACTGTGTCTTCTATTGTGGCTTCATCCATTGTTGTATCAAACATATCTGCAACTCCCAAGTCTCACTCATCTATGGCCAGTTTGCCACCATCACAGCCACATCTCAGACACTCTTGTGGTATGCCTTCTTGCCATTAACTTCTTAGACATTGTGATCTTTATGTTTGTTTCATGTCATGTCTACCTTCCTTCCTGTATATAGGTTTGTTTGTCTTCTTGTAATTATATCTTTTTCTTAGATAATTCTTAAGACCCTCTTGTGCATTTTTGAGATTTTTCTCAGGTTCTCACATTAATTCCTCAATAGGGAATCCTTTCCACTTCACTAGGTAATATTTCTTGTGGTAGTGTTCTTTGTTGTCCAAGATCTCATCTACTTCCCACTTATGATAGTTGTCTACTAGTACTGTAGGAGAATGTGTTGGTGCCTTACCCTTTCTTATGCAATACAGTTTTAATAATGAGACATGAAAAACATTATAGATCTGGTAGCTCAGAGAGAGCTTCAGTTAATATGTGTTATTTTCTATAACCTCTATTACTGAGAGAGATTTATAGTACTTGTTGTCTAACTTCTTGCAAGAACATATTGTTCATAGATTTCTTGATAACAATATTACTTTGTTACCAGGTGCATACACTTTATCTTGACATCTTCAGTTATAGAACTGTGCTTGGTTCTCTTTTGCTTTCATCAAATGTTCTACCAGACTATCTCTTAATATAGAGATCATTCTCAGTCTCCTGTCAGGCATTATCTGTACATTATTATTGTTGTTGATTAACTTCTGGATCTTGTCTGATTCTCTAGATTCAAAGCCATATATTGCTTTAAATAGAAACATGTGTATTACAGAGTGTTCTGATCTGTTGTATGCAAATTCTACATACACAAGCCACTTCTCTCAATTGTCTTGTCTATAACTATAATAGATACAGAGGTATCTCTTCAAGATCTTGTTCAGTGCCTCTGTTTGGCTGTCTGTTTGTGGGTGGAATATCATGCTAAGTTTTCATCTAACTTTTATGTGAAAACATATCTCTGACCAGTATTCACTCATGAAGACAGATCCCCAGTCTGAAACAATATTATTTGAAAATCTGAAGTCTTTAAACACTCTTCTGAACAGAAGATTTATCATTTCTGGTGTGTCAATCTTCTTTCTACATGCAAGAAAATATGCAAGCTTTATAAATTGATCCACAACAACCAGGACTGCATTATATGAATTTCTCTTCTCTCCACTCAGAGAAAGATCTGTTATAAAGTTCATAGATATTAAAAGCCAGAAACTACTGAGTGTTGGCAATAATGCAAGCAATTCATATAGTTTATGTGTTGGAGTCTTCTCTTGTTGACAGGTTTAGTATTTATATATGTATGTCTGAACACCTTATCTTATCAATTGTCAATTGTATTTTCACCAGAGCAAGACAAATATCTTCACTATATCAAAGTAATCTGTGAATAAGTTATTATGCTGGACTTGTAGTAGTTCTTGTCTTAGAGCTGGATTATTAAAGATATAGATCCTGCTACTCTTTGTCAAAAGATCTTATTTGTTTATTTTCCACTCTGACTGCTGAGATTCTGTCTCAGTAAATCTTGCTTGTACAGAGAGATTATCTTTCTGTGCTTCTAGCAGCAGATTCAACACACTTACAGTTGATTTATTATAAATCTTTTCATCTTTTATTGCTGTGTTTGTGCACATATAGAGAATCCAGGATCTTCTGCAATTTCTTTGTTAAGTCTCCCCAGCATCTCTGCCTGATGCTCTCTGAACTGACTTAACTATCTTGATACCACCAGATCTCCCCTGTGCCACCTCTACCCCACTGCTTTGGACAGTATGGGCAGCATGTACTTGAATATTTTCTTCATTAAAGAAAGTTTCTTTAAATGGGTTCCACTCTGGAACACCATCCACATAATATCTTTTGAGTGTATATATTGGCAGACCAATGTCTTCTTCTAGTTTGATATAATCTGATCTTTCTGATAATGCATCAGCTGGGTTATACTTTCCAGAGCAGTAGAGAATCTTAAAGTTATATACTCTGAGAACCTCTATTCATCTTATGTGTTATTGTTGTGCCATCTTGTTTGTGAACTTCATAAATGAACAAAGATTTTCATAATCTATAATGATCTCTACAGGATACTTCATTTCTTCCAAGTACTGCCATTAATAAACAAACACTCATATAATGGCCAACATCTTCTTATCTGGTGTACTATAGACTTGTTGGGTCTGGTCAAACTTGAATGATCAGTAGATAACTAGATGCCACTTATTATTGAACAGCTGTAGCAATATCATGCTTATGGCATGTTCTGAAGTATCTGTTTCCAGATGTAGAGTGGTATCTGGTTCCGGGATTTCCTGTCCCAGTCCCAGATTCCTGTCCCAATTCCCATCCTGAGGACAGGATCAGGTTGAAGCTCAGCTTAATGGGATGGGACCAGGTTGTTTAACAGCATATTGGGACAGTTCCATGGGAACTGGGATTGGGATGGGATTGGGACCAGGATCAAAATCTAGCTAGTAGGACAGGCCCGGGACCTGACATGACAAAATGGAATAGGACTGGGATTTCAATATTGTATATGGGACAGGACCAGTAAAGTGTAGGATGAGACTGGAAACTTCAGTCTCATTTGTGTTGTCAAAAAGTAACAAAATTTGGTAACAGTTCTAACATAATTTTATCAATTTATTCAACTTCAGAAAAGTACCAAAATTTAATAATGCTCTTTGCATAATTAGATCATATTGCAAGCTATTAGCTACTTGAGTCTATCTATTGATAACATTGACATATTTTCTGTTTCTCATCTGGATTGAGTAGTGGATTTAGCAGGCTTGCAATCTCTTCCCATACAATCTCTGGAGTATCTTGATCATCTTGATTGTCTTGAATGACTTTCTTGGCCAACTTCTTATGCAATATGAGTGCTTCATCTAGCATATGCACCTTATTTTCATGTTTAAGTAGCATGATCTTCTTGATTGTAGATGCATGGAGCCACAATTATTAATAATGACATGTATTTCAAGCAACATTGAAAACCCATTCTACCTCAATCTCTGTTAAAGATATAGCCAGAATGTCCCTTGCCATCCAAGCAACAGTTGGAAAATCAGGCTCTAGCATTCTCCACTGTTCCAGAATTAGAGCTCAAGGTGATGTTAAATTCTTGTCATTTAAATATCACTCCATTTCATTTTGGAAATTTGCTCATCTTTGATGGGGTCTCTCAAAAATCATTTGCTCAATATTCTAGAGAAGTTAGCAGAGAAGAAATCAGAATAATACTTATAACAAACATACATCATTCACATCAAGTATTACTTCTCTTGACTGTTCATATTTCTCATAATGCTTTTTGTAAAATCTCAAAATATATTGTTGGTATGTTTCACACTCATCACTGGTCCAATCCTCTGAATCATATGCTCTCATATGGTGTGATGAATGGAGGGCAGCAGCTACAGCTAGCAGCTCACTCTTTGGATGCTCAGTATTATTATAGTATTTCTGAAATTTCAAGTTGGCAGCTTTGATAGCTTCTTGAATGTTCTCTCTTGTTATCAACTGTTAGGTCTTGTCCTCCTCTCTTTCTAAATGCTGGAAAAGATGATTGTATGTTGCCCATACCAGATAAATTGTTGGGCCTGTTATTTTGGACAGTATCTTAGTAAATCAACTAAATGGCTGCAACAGTCCAACCATATACTCTAGCTGCTTCCAGTCATGGTTCAATAAGTAAAGCCTTTGGTATTTTGGTGATGAGTCCTGGATCCATGAGTCCACAGCTTGTCAAAGCAACAAGACATGAACACACATCTCATAAATGGAATTCCATCTTGTGCAAACATCTTGAATCATCTTGTGCTGGTTCTCTTGTTGATATTCTTGGAAACATGCAGCAAGTTGGGGGGAGGCATTGGTTACATTAGCAACAAGACAAATCTATTGTCAAGCAAAGATTAGTAAATCAACTCAAGTATATCAAGACCATTACCAAATTTTGTTACCTTTCTAAGAGTATTTGCAAATGTGTCTGTTGATGCTAGATCATCAGTAATTGAGCTCTCATTAAAGGTAGTGGGTAGAGCATTATTGTCTGGCTGAATCTTGAGATTGCAAACCAGCTCTCAAACCACAAGTTGAATCATATAAGCAAGACAGAATATTGTTTCACTCTCTGCATTCCAATCAGTTATCTTGTTCAACTGCTGCAATACTGGCCTCAACTGATGTGTAAGATATGCTTGCATGGTACCATTGTTTGACACATTGTTACTTGTAATTGCAAGAAGATTGCTCTCAAGCCTCCATGCTGCTAGTGATTGTTGAAGAATCTCTGCCATATTCTTGCTAGTATGAGCACTCTCTAAACTTTCAAAACCCAGTAAATGCTTATGATACTCCCAATTCTTTGTAATGTAATAACCATTAATTGCCATAAAGGCAAGGTTATTGGGACTTGTCCAATTATCCACTGCCAGAAATACCTTGGTTATTAGGTCATGGTTAAAGAGAAGATTTCAGAATAGCTGATTGTACATATCATTCATAACCTGATATAATGTTCCTCATGTGGGTATCTGTAAAGCCATTGCAGGATTGAGCATAGTTATTAATATGCAGAATGCTGGATTCTCAATAGCACAAAATGAGAGATTCAAGAATATTAATGTTTGCACAAGCTGCCAGAGGAAATTGTCTCAATTGCATTCAGGAACAGGCAGATCTGAATCTGTTCAAGGACACTTCAGAAACTGTTGCTAAGACACCAGAACTGTTACTAAAATTCATTACATTTGGGAAATTAGGATCCATGATCTACCATCATGTTAACCAGAGTGTTACCCTGTTCATCACCAGTTTTTGTACAATCTTTGCTCATTAAATGCTTCTTCAGACCACTTGTACCATTTCAAGAAAAGCTTGAATAGCTGAGAAAGATTTGGCAATGCTTGCAAATCACTTCTGGAGTATCCTTAGAATGCTCTGTCACCTGATCAAATTTTGACCAAAAATCAGAATGGCATTGCTTTGCCTTCCAGTTGAGGTCACCACACTTCTTATCATTAATCAACTGAGCAGCTTCAGTAGTCAACCACCAAGTAACAAATAACTTATAATGCAGCTCCTTTCACAATACAAATTATTTTTTTCCATGTTGAACTATGGTCAATTCTGAAGGAATCTCTGTAGATTTTGCTTGTTTGCTGGCTTCAGTCATTAGGTTTTTCTTTTTTTTTTTTTTTTTTCACAATCAAATTGATTTTTCTCTAAGTTCTGTCTTAGTCAAAAAAGTAACAAAATGTGGTCAGAGCCCACACAAAATTTGACAATCTCTAGATAGTTAGCCTCATTTTACTCTGTAAGTACAGCAACCAACTACAAAATCTTCTTCTTCTACAAAATGGAACATTCTTCTTCAGGAAAATAAAACATTTTGCCAATTTAATGGCACCCCATTCTCAAATTAATATGAAAAAAGAACTAAAAACCTAACTTTCTCCTCTAGATATCAATAATTCAATTATTCTCCACCTCATTGTCCTCCTCATCATTCTTATCAGAGAACACCACAACCTCAAAATCATCTTCCTCCACCTTCTCTGGAGCAGATGGGCTGTTATTGTCTTCACTCAGACTCTGTAATTGGTCTAGAAATCCCCTCATCTTCTTCTCAACCCCCTCTCTCAATACACCAACTGCAGCAAGACAATCATGACCATGGGCCATGATCTTGGCCTCAAGCCTGACTATCATTTGGCAGAATTGGGTCTTTCTACATGCAGCAATAGGATGCTGCACCTGGCTTGTTTTGACCTAAATATGTCAGAACCATTACCAAATTTCATTACTTTTGAATTCTACCTTCTTTTTCTGCTGAGCTTCATTCTCAGCCTCTGTGACCTCTTCTTAGCAATACTTCTTCTCTTCCTTCCTCTTCTTTTGCTGAGAGATCATGAGCTGGTGCTTATGATACTTCTTTGACTTGCTCTTGGCAAATCACTTGGCCATCAACTCTTCAATAGCTTTATCTTCAATCATCTTGCAATCCTTCTTGCTGCTATTCTGCCTGCAATGGATGTCAATATAATTCAATGCAAACCACTGAGGGTGCATACCACTCATGTTTTGCTTGAATTTTCTTCAGCACATCATGGCATGTCTTGCAATCTGTCTCTTCTATCTTGAATATGTCTTTTTGATGGCCTTCCAAGGCCTGGCAGTGCTTCTGTGCTGCACAGGTCTTCTCTCTTATTGAATATTGTTTTGGCCCCATCTTCACAATTGTATGTGATGAGTTGAATTGCTGGCTACAGAATAATGAGATTATAGAGTATATTGATCAAGTACTTGTATAGGATGGTTACTATACACATTGTTTACATTCTACAGGCATGTTGCTATGGGCAAGCTCAATGTGTTGTTGCTATGCTGGCTACAGGATAATGAGATTATAGAGTGTATTGATCAAGTACTGTAGAATGGTTACTATACACATTGTTTACATTCTACAGGCATGTTGCTATGAGCAAGATCAATGTGTTGTTGCTATGCTGGCTACAGGATAATAATATCAGATCAGTCTCTCTTCTCTTCTCTTTCTCTTTCTCTTCTTCTTCTTTCTCTTCAGAGCTAATGTTGATGATTCTCCCCTCCTCTCCCCCCCACCATCTTTTTATTTACTGCACTTCAACATCCGCGCGTACAATGAACATATACTGCAACAAAATGAGTTGCATTAAGAGGTGAGTGCTTGCAGAATACTGCTCTGGCACACATTGTTTACTGACAAGATATTAGTTTTCCCTGTGCATGTTCATTTCATACAGCTGGAGAGGAGCAGCACAAGACTGCATTGAAAGAATGGGCCCTGAAGAAGGGCAATTGGTGTAAAGCCAATAAAGATGTTGATCTGGCCAACTTTGACCAGGAGAATTCCTGCCCCCATCCCCCTGTTCAAAATTGGAAGGCCGGCACTTGTATGTCAAAAAGTAACAATTTTTGGTAATGGTCTTGATGCTAATTGGTGAAAATAGGTGCCATCAAGAAAATCTGCCACTTCCAGAGCTCTATCAAGCTAATCTTGCTGGTGGCTCTGTTCCAGTGATTGGTTTGGGAAATTACTTTGTTCTGTCACCAAGAACATGAATATTGCTGGCAACATACTGCCATTGAGTCACTTCAGAAGACAGCTGAAGCAATCTTGTGCATTCTGTTTGAGTGTAAGTCACTCTTAGCAATGGCACCAACAATTATACTGAGTAATATAGGCTCTGTTATGGCAATAGTGTACTGTAAGCACATTACAGTCAACACTGACAATATGAAGCTTGTTCTTGGCATTAGTGCTAAAATTGGGTCAAACTATTTCAGCCTGATTGATGTGCCTGATCACCCCACCCCTGCTGCCATCATCTGCTGCCTGCATGCTGCCTCTGCCCTGCCAACTACCACTGCCACCACTCCATCACCACCATCACCACCCATCACCACCTCCCTGCCTCTCTCTGGCACCATCAGGGTCTCCGCCTGTCAAATGGCAGGTATTAGAGCCCCTGTCCAGTTCACAAAGCCAGTTCTGGAGGAGCAGGAGAAGGAGAAGGAGAAGGAGGAGAAGAGGGAGAAGGAGAATGATAATGATGATGAAGATGATGACAATAATGATTAACTTGCCATTTAGGCAGTTCCTGTTTGTTTGCTGGCTTTGACTATTAGTTAGTTTTAATACTTGATTTCTTTTGACAATCAAATTGATTTTTCTATGAGTTCCGCCTTCATCAAAAAAGTAACAAAATTTGGTAATAGTCCACACAAAATTTGATCAGTTTGACTCTTCCCTATAAATTTGACACAATAGGACCAGGAATCCTGGTCCCATCCCAGTCCCACTATGAACCCAGCCAGGATGGGAAATGGGAGTCTACCATCTCTGCTGGAATGGGATGTGGGACATAATTTTCTATTTGAGGATGGGACTGGGAAATAATTTCTGGAATAGGGATGGGAACAGGACCTCAAGCTCTTGAGTGGAATGGAACATGGGACTGAGATTTCATATTTGGGATTCCGGCTGTTTCTAAATTTGGGATGGGGACCAGGTTCAATAGGAAATGGGATCCTGTCCCGGTCCTGAATACCAGCCTAATTCTGTTGAGCTGAGCTTCAACCCAATCCTGTTCTTGAGATGGGAATTGGGACAGGAATCCAGGACCAGGACAGGAAATCCTGGAACCAGATACCACTTTGGCAAAGATGATGAAAGAAGATTTGGTATCAGATGGACTGATATTATTTGCAAGCCTAGTGATATTCAAATTTCAAGCTCTTTGCTATTCCATGGAGCCCATGGTTCATGCAAAAAGATTTATTGCACTATGCTATTCTGGTATATGGTAATTCAAGAGGACCATGAACATCTAGAAGTCAATAAAGCTGGTACCTGGTCCCAGCTCTCTGCTGTATATAGAGATCTAGTTCCAGAGTCTTTGTCTCTATCTGGCTATTCAAACTGTTACACATTGGTTCTATATTGATTCTCTACTGCCATTCAATTACAAAGCTTAGAAGCTATATTGGATGCTTTAATAGGCTGAATTAGATGGGATAACTCTATAGTAATTGAGGAACTAGATACTCTCTTTGAACCTGATGAGAAGAAGGCTCAGAACTTTATTAATAACTGGTGCCTAAAGACCATGTGAAGTACTCTGGATGCTATTATCAAGACATACCAAATTAAAAAGAAAGCTTTTGGCAACAAATCATATTGGTATTGTGTGCACAATAACATTGACCTAGCATCTGTTCAGCCTTCTCCTCCTCCTGAGAACTTGGTAGAAGAAGAGGATTATAGTGATCACTATTAGGGATTGCAGCTGTCACTTTCTTTATTCTTATTTCCTATGTTTTTCCTTACCAGACTACTTATTACTATTTATTATTCTCTTATTTTACTAAATTGCTTTTGTTTTGCTTTATATGTTGCTTGTTGTCAGGGGACACCAACACTCTAAGCCAGGAGGAAATGTGGTGGGGATTCTGGTACTATATTAGGATGAAGTTTGTTCCAGTCCAAGGTGCAACCCCTTCAAAGCTACTATCCCTGAGTTATATAAACTGCCCATAGCCCCTACATCTCGCTCATTACCTTCGCGCACCTTTTGCACTTTACTACACTCTTGTTCCTTATTATTATTTTGGTTATTAGTTAGAGAATGTGAATATCTCTTGTTCATGAAGTATACTACTGTTCCTCTTTAGAGCTGCCTGTATTAGTACAGGGCTCCTTAAGACTACTACTACTACTTCTTATAAGCTTAGACATCTATTAGGACATACATTTCGGTGCTTTCACTACTTGGTTCAGTACTATCTCTACTATATTGTGATTTTTTTTACTTCTCTTGCACTATCACCTTCTCAACCAAATCACCTACTTTGATGAGGCATCCTATCGTACCCCACTTCAGTATTTTCTTTATTTGTGAGAGATTTTCTTTATTATCTTGTTAAAATACTTCTTGTTCTTGAGAGATTGAGATTTTTTGTTTCTTCTTATTTAGACTCTTGTTCTACTGATTTTGTTTCTTCTTTTCTAGAATTAACTTAATAAGAATCACTTATTCTTATAGTTTTACAACTGTTTCTAATTAATATTGTAGCTTATCAAGTTCAGCTTGATAATAAGACCTGACACGATATAAAGAGCGCACAGAAAGCCATAAAGATCCAGATAAATGAGTACTGAATCATAAGACATAGCATGTATTTTAGGAATGCTGCTGAAGGTTCACAGCCTCTACTCCAAATGTGAGGATATTAGATCTCAACATGCTGCTTCCCTAGCCATGTGGCACGGAGATGTGTTGTTTTGGGTTTCCTAATTAGGCCAAGGGCGTACACTTTTTTTTTTGCTATAATCTCCCTTCCAACTCTCTCTCTAACTACTAACCTACACAGTTTCACCAGCTACCCTACAAGCGCACCAGCTCTTGAAATCAGTAAAGGTAAGCTCTCTACAGCCATGAGTTCCATTCTTGAAAGAGCTTATAAGCTTGCTAACTAGAGATTAGCAATATACAGACTTCCTTGTGAGATTCCCTTTGCAAAAGGGGCTTTGAAGCCACTTTTGGCAGGCTGATATAGAGCTCAAGAGCATTGCTAGATATTTCCTCCGAACAATTTTGTGTGTCGCGCGGCTAGATTTTCTCCAATATCCTGGCTTATTTCCCCAGCAGCTCCCACCTCGCAGCCTCACTATGTCGGCTTTCAACCGGATCATCAAGAAGCAAGCCGTCGGCAAGGTGGTGAAAGATGGAGTGGAGTATGTGCTTTCCGTGGCGACTGAGACGAGCAACTGGACAGGCCCAGAGGGTGTTGCTGAGATGATTGGCAAGAGAGCCGGCCCAATTATTCAGAATTCAAAAACACCACTGCCCCCCGGTGCTGTTGAAATATGTGTCAGGTATGTTATAAGCCCTCGCCTGCTCAGCTTATAAGCATGCTGGGAGTAATGCTGACAACAATCCACGCAATAGGGAGCCTGAGCATAAGAATGAAGCCAGTGATGATCAGAGAACCCATTTAACTGGTGTCGCTTTGTTCAAAAATGGTGATGGCACAACTCTGCACTTCAAGAAAAAAGAAAATGACAAGTCAAAGTAAGGATGCTCAAAGCCTCTTTAGATGGAAGATGAAAGATTAATAAGATTCTAGGGGCACTTGAACTCTTCAAAACTCCAATTTGCTGATGAATGTAAGGGGATGTGGGCATTCCTGGGAGAGAGTTCAGGGTTGAGCGCTGGCGTCCCCTTGGATATAAGGCATATTCAGGTGACCAATGCTGCGGGTGTTGTTGGCTGATGTTTTCATGTTATGTTGAAGTTGCCTGTATCCTTTTCAATGCTTAGCTTGCTTATTTTGAGATTGTTGTTGGGTTCTAACCCTGGTTACATACTTTCATTACCCCTATGAAACAAAGTCCTGCGTCGGCTCTTCGGACCGTTCATTCTATCCACCTGCTTATTCAACTCCATTAAACCACTCGTCTTCAAGAAGCTCTTTTGCTGTCGGCCTATCCCTGGGGTCCATCTTCATAATCCTCAAAATAAACTCCCTGTCCTCCGGCGAAATCTCTTTTTGACTAGCATACTGGAAAGGCTTCAATTGGTCTGACGGCACAGAAGCCATAATATATCTCAGAATCGCCAATGTTTCCCGATCAGCAAGGTCAGAGTATGAACAGGGGTATGGCCCGAAAAAGATGTGGTATTTTGCAAGGATATTGAGTTCATATTCATCGTGACCCCGAGGAACTTTGGGTTTGAATATGAAGAAATTGTCGCCCCAGATCATGGATATAACCTTTGTTGATAAACAGTTAACATTGGCCTTTGTTAGGAGAAAGACTTGAGCTAGGGGTGTTTGATAAGTACCATTGTTCCAAAGGACCAAATGTCAGTTGGTGGGCCCCATTGCAGTCCCAGTTGTGCCTCTGGGCTCCGCCAGATTGGAGTACCAATCCCATCACATTCCTGGCAGTACCGAGAGGTAATGTGGACAGTACTCTCCAAGTCAGCGAGCTGAATGTCAGTAAAACGTAGCCCACTCTCACCCTGAGAAGAGGGGGCAAAGTTAACTAGGACATTGTCCATTTTGACATCTGTAGAGTCCATCCTGTCAGAACCTAGGAACACACAGGTTCATCCGGGAAAATTCTAACCTGTGTGCACAAATCCATCTTCATGCAGCAGCTTCAACGCTGTAAGGACCCTTTTCGATACATATTTGATCTCTTTCGTAGTTAGCTTCTTCTTGTTGGAACTGGCGAGTAGGTCATCTTCTAGATGCCTCAAGACAATAGCTGGCGGGTCGGTAGGCTCCACTATTTCATCGATCAACGGACGTAGGTACTGTGTTCGAGATTGGAACTTCTTGAGAACATCTCTCTCATTGGTGATGCGGAGATCGTTGCGTGCGGATTTGATCACGACAGTCTGCCCAATTTTGCATCTAATAAAACAAGGTATATGTAAACACCAGGAAAGCACGCCAAAATTATTGCTCAATGTAAGTAGCGAAAGATAGAAATACCGTCCAAGCCAAACCGAATCTCCAAGCTGCCTTGTGATGGTGTACGTGCTGATAGCGCCGATGAGGATCTGGCCCAGCTTCAGGAGTGGAGAAGCCGATGAACTTGATGAGCCAGCGACGGACTGACCCAACTTTCCAAGAGAGGAGTGGGTTGTCATTATTATTATTGCGGACTCGAGAAGAGGCGGGTCATGCAAGGACAACGAAGTCGATGCGCGACTTTACCATGTACGTTCCAATAAAGTCCAGGGAACGAGGAAGGGGCACGCTCTGGCACAATGTACCTGGAGTCAGTTGAAAAAGCGTTGATTAATGGCTTCTCCTCAAAAAGCGGCTGATGCAATCCTCCAAACAGGGCTTTGTTTTTGATGTTCTGCGCTCGGTTGACAAGGCCATGGCAGCTTAGGTTAACGGAAAAATGATGACCCGGGGGCTTAGACCCGGTTTGAGTACTCGCTTCCGCTGACGCCATCGTGTTCTATGCCGCCAATTACCCCCTAGATGGCTATCGAAGACACGGTAACGCTTCCATGGCACCTATACCTACTAACGCAATGGTCCCCCAAACCATTACCCGCGGAGCACTGCGCTGTTAATATTATTGGCGAACTTATCCCAATCCTTGTAGACATTTAGGGTATGGCGAAGCTTTTGTGCGGCCCACAAGCTCTCCACTTTTGGCCATATGGCATCGATGCTGTCAACGCCCCACGTAGCGACAAGCCTACTCCCACGAGCGTTACAGAATTACGAGGATTCCTAGGGCCTGCTGGATATTTCCGAATACTCATAGAGCATTACAGTTGGATAGCCGAACCTTTACATTATCTGCTTCGACGAAATGTTACATGGACATGGACTGAAGGGCATCAGAATCTGCAGGGCTGTCACTGAACTGCTCCGTTCCAGATTTCAAGAGGGCGCTAGTCGGATTGACCAGCACGCTGGTGAATCAAATGGACCAATCAGAAGACAGGGACAATTTTGCACCGGGAGTTCGGATTTTCCGACTTCCGCTTTCCAATCGGGACAGCGTCACGGCTCACTGCAAACATTTCACACGCGATATTAATGCCAGCTTAAATCAACAGCGTAGAGCATGTCCTCAACTGCTCTGACAAGCTTCCAGTGGTTTTCCTATACCTGCTACACAGCTAATCCTCGCTCCCTGAGCCTTCGACCCCCCAGCGGCATCCAACCCTCCCCCAGCCCTACAGACATGTCTCCTTCTCCTCCCGGGATACCGGCAGAGCTCCTTCCAGAAGTGGAACAACAGATACCAGGCGACTTACTAGGAGCCGGGCCTGCAGCCGTTCGAACACTGAATGCTAGAGAGGAGAATGTTCAGGGAAGAATGGTAAGAGGAGAATACTAGAGAACTAAAGAACTTTGTCCGACCGGCTTCGTCCTGCAGCCACCAGCCACCACCTCTCCCCGCTGAAGCCTGTTCCATTGCAAATTCGGACCACCCGGACAATGGTCAGGAGAGCGACGCCAATGCTTTCCACCCTGCCCGTCCCGATCCCGCTGCAATAGGTATACTGGTGACTTGTGTATCGTCGAACACCACAAACATAGCAGCGCGAATATGAAGTTGAAGCCATGTCATCAATGCACATTTTAGTGTATGTGTTATATCTGCAGGCTGACGGAACGGCCCGGGAAGTTCACATGGTTGGTAACGCCTCAACCGATCCATGAGTGGCTTGTTTATGTAGAGAAATGAACGGTAGAAAAGTTAGAAATGCGGCAACACATACTCCAGAAAAAGAGGACAGCACTTCACAGGTTAGTAACAGTTCTAACATAATTTTATCAATTTATTCAACTTCAGAAAAGTAACAAAATTTGATAAGACTCTTTATATAATTAGATTATATTGCAAGCTATTAGCTACTTAAGTCTATCTATTGATAATATTAATATATTTCCTGTTTCTTATCTGAATGAGTGGTGAATTTAGCAGACTTGCAATTTCTTCTCATACAATCTCTGGAGTATCTTGATTATCTTGATTATCTTGAATAACCTTCTTGATTAACATACAATATGAGTGCTTTATTCAGTATATATATCTTGTCTTTATATTTAAGCAGCATAATCTTCTTTATTATAAATGCATGGAGCTACAATCATTAATAATCATATATATTCTAAGCAACATTGAAAACTTATTGTACCTCAATCTTTGTTAAAGATATAGCCAGAATATCTCTTATTATTTAAGCAATAGTTGAAAAATCAGACTTTAGTATTCTCCACTATTCCAGAATTAGAGCTTAAGATAATGTCAAATTCTTATTATTTAAATATTACTGTATTTGACTTTGAAAATTTGCTTGTTTTTGATAAAGTCTCTCAAAAATTATTTGCTTAATATTTTAGAAAAGTTAGTAAAGAGAAAATTAGAACAATGCTTATAATATATATACATCATTTATATCAAGTATTGCTTCTCTTGACTGTTCATGTTTCTTATAATACTTTTTGTAAAACCTCAAAATATATTATCAGTATATTTCACACTTATTACTGATTTAATTTTCTAAATTATATGCTCTTATGCAATATGATAAATAAAGAGAAGCAGCTATAACTAGCAGCTTACCTTTTAAATACACAGTATTACTATAGTATTTCTGGAATTTTAAGTTAGGAGCTTTAATAGCTTTTTTAATATTCTCTCTTATTGTTAACTACTGAGTCTTGTTCTCTTTTCTTTTTAAATGCTGAAAAAAATAATTGTAGATTACTTATATTAGATGAATTATTGAGCCTGTTGTTTTGAATAGTATCTTGATAAATTGACTGAATAGCTGCAACAGTTCAACCATATACTCTAGCTGCTGTTAGTCATAGTTCAATAAGTAAAATCTTTTATATTTTGATGATAAGTTCTGGATTCATGAGTTCCCAGCTTGTTAAAGCAACAAGACACAGATACATATCTTATAAATGGAATTTTATCTTCTGTAAATATCTTGATTCTTGAATTATCTTGCACTAGTTCTCTTATTAATATTCTTGGAAATATGCAGTAAGTTAGGGGGAGGCATTGATTGCATTGGCAACAATTATTATTATTATTATTATTATTATTCATTATAGTCTTATGCAGTCAGTAACTATAAAGACTACTTAGCAGCTGATCTGTTAGAATTTAATTAATGTACATTATAGAAACTGTAAAAGAAAGAGAATTCAGAGTATTTCAAGGTAATATAAGATGTTCTTTCACAAAAGTCAAATAACAGATAGTATATGAAATCAATTTCAAGAAAACAAAGTTTCTTGTAGCAGTGTGATGTAAACTAAGAAAAAAAAGTTAACAAATTTGAGAAAGCCACTGTCTAGTAGCTATTCCAGTACATTTGAGAAATAAAACTAGCTATTTTAGGCCTAATTCAGTTTCTAAAATAAAATTTAAAGATAGTTGAGAAATATCAAGTTCTTGTTAAATTTTTCTTCTTTCAGTTTGATAAGCTGAGCAATCTAATAATAGATACTTGGATTTTCAACACAATTACAGAAAGAGCATAAATTAGAAGAGTAGTCAGATAATCTTATTAAATAAGATCTGAAATATCTATAATCAAGCTTTAATTAACAAATAGTTGGCCATATCTTTTTAGATATAGAAAGAGTAGATGCTTTCTATCTGGATTTTACTTTAAATTAAGAGAAGTGGTTTGTAAACTTTTCTCTATTAAAAAGATCTTCATACCACTCTACCATTACTTATTCTTTGATTTGTCTCTTAATATAAGTAAGAGATATATATCTCTTTGAACAAACTTGATTTAATTTTGTAGCTCTTTTTACTGCTAGATCAGCTTCTTCATTTCCATGTATATTTACATGTGCAGAAACCCAATGAAGATGTATATTAATTTGCTAATTTTTAATATACTTAGCAGTTTTTCTTATAAACTGAAGATAATATAAGTCAGAATTAAGATCTTGATTCAAGAGTCTCTGAATAGTAGCTTGGCTATCAGAAAACACCCAGATATCTGATATTAATCTTGATTGAGATTGAGAAATAAAACTTGCTAATTTAAATACTTCATCTATAGCAAAAAGTTCTGCATTAAAGATTTCAAAATGTTTGCCTAGATTTCATGAAAATCTAATATTATCTTGTAGATTATATACACCAGCACTAGCATATTGATTTTCTTCAGCTTTGAATCCATTTGAATAAAGAATCAAAGATCTATTATCTAGACTTTTAATTCTATTCATGTAACTATTTTTAGCTGTTTTCTTGTCTGATTTTTCAATTTGAATATCTATTAGATCAGTATTGTGTGTGACTGAAAACCTCCCTGGGTTCTTTGGGATTTGAAAAGTACCAAAGGGCTTAAAGAGAGTAACAACAGATTGGAGATAGTGATCAATAGTTCAATAGTGCTCCAGTTGAGTGAGCAGTCTTGCTCTGATGACAAAGGGTTTCCATGCAGGTATATCAGAGTCAGAACAAGGCTATCATGCCTTTTTAAGAGTAGTAGAATCAGATACAATCATACAGTATCACAAGACTTTAATAATATGAAAAGTAATCAAGATATGAAGGTATCTGATTCAAAAATATCTATAAGATAGTAAGGAAAGTTGATTATAATGAACAAGTTTATTGAATCTCTGGTAATAAGTGTTCTTATATACATGATGCTCTTCTGGTGATACTTGTGATACTTTCTTCTAGATTGCTTGTGTTGTAGTATCACAATATATAATACTCTCTTTCTTATATCTTATCTTGCTCATATCATCTTCTGGTTATATAATTTCTCATCTTAAGGTTTCTCCACAATAATCTGTAACTCTGTCTTGTCAGGTTTTGTTTAATTATTCTGTGTCTCTGGCTGCTATACTGTAAGATTCATAATATCATTTTCTTCTTTTACAGTGTGTTGTCCCCAACTGCTCTGCTTCTTTTTTCTGAAATATAAAAGAGTGTTCTCTTCTTCTTGTGTTTTCTTGTGTTCTTCTTTCTTAAGTAAGTGTCTTTATAGCTTAATCATAGCTTCCAAATCTGCCATTCACAAGAATACTTTGGTCACTAATATTGAAAAATCAGGCTTTATTATGATCTTCTCTTGTATTCACTGTTCTTCTCTCAACAAGATGTGCATTATATTCTCTCATTCTTCTCAGTGTAGTGAATGTGTGCATTTCAGTTGTTTGTGTATCTGTGACAACAGTTCTTCTGCTGAGAAGTGGCATTCTCTTGAGAAAGCTCAGAAGAAGCTAAAGTTGGAGAAACATCAAGCTTTCAAGAAACAGATTTGTATTTTCTTGACACTTCTTCATCTTCAAAAACAAGAGTCTCTTCTTAAATATTGTGGTAGTGATATGATAGTTTGGGGTCTTTCTTCTTTGGAGAAATTGAAGTGTCTGGAAGAGAAAGAGCAGAAAAGAGTGGCCAAACAGGCAGAGATTCAGAATCTGCTTGCTTTATTAAATAATCTTCCTTCTTCAGATTCTCTTCCAGTTGTCTCTGATTTGTTTGTTAATGCTTTGCTAAGTGAGGGTATTATTAATGATATATCTCAACAATTGTTTGAGCATTTCTGAGGCTTTTTGCTGGTTCCCAGGTGTTTTTCAAGATATTATACCCTTTCCATTTCACTAAGTAGTGAAGTTCTCTACTGATTTTCTGATGATCTAGTATTTGTTCAACTTCATATTCTTGTTCTTTGTTGATCTCTGTGGGCATTTCTTTGGCATGTAGTGGTGCTTTTTCCAATAATGAGACACAGAATACTGGGTGTATCCTCATCTTCTTGAATAACTGGAGTTTGTAATTAACTCTTCTGATCCACTTCATGATTTTGTATGGTCTCAATTTTTTGAAATCAAGTTCTTTGCTTGATTGTTTGGTTTTGATATTCCATCAAATTAGAAATACTTTTTCTCTCTCTTTTAGAGTTAGTGCTTTCTGGCATCTTCTGTTATAGTAGTGCTTTATTCTCTTATTCAGAAACTTGATATTCAGTTTTATCTGATTCTGCAGTTCTTATAGTTGTATTGCCATGGGTTCTGCTTCTTGAGTCTTTTGTTGTGCCCTTCTTGACTGTTTCTGTATTTCTGATTCTCTGCTATAGTTTATGTAGAACAGTGTTATTTCTGTAATAGTATTTTTTGCTTTATTGTATGCCAATTATGCTATGAGTAGTAGTGTAACCTAATTATTCTGTTGGTAGTTAATATATTCTTACAGATATTGCTTTAAGATTTGATTCAGTCACTCTGTCTGTTCATCTGTCTGTAAATGATAGACTGTTGATATCTTCTGTTCAATTCCCAATTATGTTATTAATGTTATCCAGAATTTGCTTATAAATCTAATGTCTTGATTGATGATTATATCTTCTGGCATTCTGTAGTTAGCAAGCATGTTTTGTAACACTATCAGTGCTGTATCTGATGCTGTTATTGCTTCTCTGAACAGTATAAAGTATCTGTACTTCATTAATCTGTCAGTAACTACTAGTATTGAGTTGTACTTCTTCCCTTTCATATTCTTCAAATTCAGAAGTTTTGTGATGGAATTCATCACTATAGATCTCCATGGTCCTCACAGTTG